TACCGCTGTCCCTGAGGAAGGGTTTCAGCGAGGCCCAGTCCACTACTTGAGTATTGGAACTGATCCTTCTAGAAACTTATTGGATTAACAGTCAGCATAGATTTGCAGGCAGTTCTCTTAAAAGGGAAGAAGAGACCTCCTTGACGAGAAAAGGATCTCTTCGAATTACACTACAATATATTGGTCTTCAGTTGATTTCATTGGAATTTGGTGCTGATTTCAAGCCCACTTTCGAAGTCCTAAGTCAACAACCTTCTGATCGATTTTGATAGTTCCAGCCACCACCACAGTGACAGGAACCTTCTTGTTGACCATCTACCAATACAACTACAAGGCCAACACCATCATCATTGCCTTAAAAAGGACCTAGACATCAACCAACTTGACAAGGACCCCATTGCCGATAGAGAGTTCCTGCTGCCACCACACACGACAAAAGCAGCCAATTCAATTCAATTCGCTCGAAAGAAGAAGGAGTTCTTGACTGGTCCCGGTTCCGAACACCTAGAGTCTCCGAGTGAAGTCGAGACTTATTGTTTTTGCACCAATTCTTGGCAATCGAGCAAGCCTCTTACGTCCGAAGGAACCTGTCATATCTCTTTCGCGTCCAGGCTTATTCCTTTCAACTCAACTCAGCGATTACGCAGAACGTTTGGATTTATGCAACGTCGGGAGGCTTATCTCTTTCCATTCGTCCGTGCAGTTTCAAGTGTCACGAGTTTCTGTCGCGGAACGTGGAAGAACGTACTGACGTAAGCCCCACGAAGGTCGCTCCGCCAATCAAATCGCCCATGCAGTATTCGCGTGATACTGTACTTATCGCTCGTGCACTGAGTCAGTAAGCAGCGGTCACGCGGAACGTAAAGGAGTTCCCTGGCGATCCTGGATTTCGAAGCCTTATAGGACAACCATTCCCCGAATTGCGCTCACATTTTAAGGAATTTACGTGGTCGAGTCATTGAAAATCGCGATCTTCCGTACGGATTGATCGGAGCGGAGCGATAAACCTACCCAAGAGAGTACCTCGGAGCGACAACGAGGCACCCAAGAGGTCAATTCGCTTGGCTGAAAGTGGTACCACTGTCACCGCCACCCTTCAATTTGTCAGTGGGTATCTCACCTTCAGTACTGGCAACTTGTGCGGGGAGATTCATTGGCCCAAAGTTGCCTGGCTCCTCAGTGGCAAAATACCCACAAACCAAGCCAGTTCCCAGCACCAGAGCAATTCAGGAAACAGGTCCCAAAGCTTGTACACAGGCTACCTTATTCAAGTACACTTAGATTGAATTTCCCAGGTCCCTAGCAAGGTCCCAAGAAGTCATCTTTGTGGTTTCCAGATTACAGTTGAGTCAAGGTTTATTGTCCTGCTACAAGAGCCAAATCCAAGGTTTCCAGTACAACCAGTACACACCCCTTCTTTGTCAGTAACAAGAGGCACCATGTCTTTCTACGGTGTCATCAGCGATGTGAGTGACCCTTATGCCCCTGGCTACTCCGACCGTGGCTGGCACTACGTCTACTCTGGTCCCCAACAAGTCCAAGGTAGCTACACCTGTGCCCGCCCCACACACCACGATGGAGCTGGCAACAGCAACCTAGCCTACCGCCACCAGTATCGGGACACACAGCCACCAGTGCCACCACCAGATGAATACAAATCCATCTTTGACATTCTTGAGAAGACACCGGCACCACCTGTGTCAACAGTGTTCCCACCAGACGCATACACATCACCCTTCGACACCCTTGAGAAGAGGCCGGCACCCATGGCCTACGGTAGGACCAACGACCAGCTGGGTGATGGGGAGATTTCAGAGCTGTCTCCTGACAGCTCCAGTTGTCACCCAGATCTCATTTATACCCCAGCCATGGAAGACATGCTGATCCACTTTCAACAGCAACAGGCCACCGTCGCTCGACAACTCGACCTCATGAGAGCTGACCACGAAACCTTCAAGCGAAAGATGGAAGCTCAGTTCATCGCGTTGAAGGACCAACTGACAACTCAACTGGAAGCCTTAGTCATGGTAGCTGCTAGGCCACCTGTCACAGCACCTACACCTGCTTTGACACCACCAGTTCATGGGGAGACCAATGCCACTCCACTGTCAGCCATGTTAGTGATGATGGCGTCCACAAGCCGACTGGTGACAGCGCTATTGGTACCCAACGGCTCCACAGCCCAAAGAAGCAGCAGCGCCACAGGGCTACTCGTTCCAAGCAAGATGCCACTGCCATCCAGCAACGACTGGATACCATTGCCATCCAGCAACGATTGACTGATGCCCACTTGGCACCGACCAGCTGTCCACCAATGTAGCCACGGCTCCATCTCCCAAGCTAGCTTGTGGGGAGTTGCCTGTCACACGACCCCTGCTGCGTGTCCCAGCTACGAGCCACCAGCTGCCCAGTGCCCACCCCTTGGATGCCCATGCTGGTGCCCATCCATCGTTGGATGATGGGGAGATTATCGAGCTTGCCAGCCCTAGTAGTCATCCAACCTCTGGGGAGATCATGATGGTAAAACCTCCAGCCAACAGGCAACCAGCTTCCATTGCTGGCAACAACAACATTGCAGCTGCAGCTGCACAACCAAATAGACCAAGTGTGGCTCCCACTCAGCCAGCTCTCCAGCCAAGAGCATATGAGCAGACCCACAGTGTGGTGACCCGCAAACAACCTGCTCCAAGACACAGAGCACACAAGGGTCCCACCACAACCAACATTGGCAGGAGACCTAGTGGTCCATCACCCACAGTGACACCCAAGGTTCCCAGCCTGGTTCCTACAGAACCACCAACCTATGGCACAGCCAATGCCACAAGACTCGTACCCAATGAGGTGCCGTTGTCTTTGAATAGGACCAGCCTTGGTCCAACCATCACCAGTCCATTTGCCAGGGGGGCCACCACACAGATACCCTCTGCTCTTGGTGGAATCCATGGGGAGCAACCACAGCAAGCACCTTTGACCAAGGCAGCTTTGGTGTCTCCTACCCAGGAGCTGACTGCCATGGTGTCGCCTTCTCAGAAGCTGACCGCCACCACGCTTTCTACCCCAAAGCTGGCTGACATGGCATTAGTGCATGGCAATGGACCAATCCCGGTGACGCCCCTGGATTTTCGGACGGGCAACTAAACTACGTCGCTGTCTGGTACAGCCCATCCATCCCATCCGTCAAGGGACATGATTGCGGGGCAAGAAGGCCGCTCCACTGAGAGCTTGCCACCGCTGAATTCGGCCTGTGGCAAAGCCACGAATATTTGTCTACATATGAAGAAAACAAACAACGGCTATGATAGCAACCAGCACCGCCGACACCTACCTAGTCTGGCCATGCTGATGAAGCAGGCAATCCCTTTGCGCCTACCTTTGGTCCAGCAACCGACCAACCATGCAAGTCCCTCCACTTGTGAGATCTCCAATCTCACATTGTGTTCCACTAGCAGTCGATGCCGAGTGGCCCATGAATGTTCCGTTCATGAGGAGAGTATGTATTGTAGTTAGTTAGTAACTAATCGTTTATCGTGGCATTCCCATGAGAGCGGATCCATACGCACTCGTGGGGAGCGATAACTTTTAGGAGCGAGAGCTCTGGATCCCGTCAGAGATAGCTCCAACAGCTATGCTGGCCTACAGCTCCAGCACCCACAGCTGGCTTATCTCCAGCCAAAGCAGCAAGAAAGGATTGTCCTTTCCATCATAGTTAAGAAAATAGTACGAAAGATTGAGACCGATCCTGATTAGCTTGTAGCCCCTTTGATACCGCAGCAGTTGATACCAATCCTGTTGAGGCCGGGCAGAAGCAGTAGGAGGCAGCAGATAGTACTGTTCCCAGACTGCCACTGCACGATTGAATAACGAGCTCCTGAGGAGAGCTGGCCCAAAAGGGCCCAGCAGAGAGCTCTGCTGGCCCTCCTGTCTGACTGAAAGGGCCAAGTCCTTGGTTTGGTGCCTACTGGAGGTGTTGGAATACTCCTGAGGCACGACAAGGCTCCCTGAACTGCCTGACTACCGCTGTCCCTGAGGAAGGGTTTCAGCGAGGCCCAGTCCACTACTTGAGTATTGGAACTGATCCTTCTAGAAACTTATTGAAAGTCATGGGTTGGCAATGTTCCATTGGAAGATTATATTGAGGCTATCCTACATCAGCTATTCTTGGGTGTGGCCCAAACAAACATGGAGATTGTGGACAACCTCATGAAGGTACTCAAACTTGGGGTGGAAACCTTTAGACGCTCCATCCAACCCCTTCTGGAAGCAATCAAAAGTCTAGGTCTGGATTGGTTTCTGGCACATCCATTTAACAGGGGGGAAAAGGGAACAGGTCATACCACTGGTGGATGGGTTGGTGAGAACTGGTCAGCTTTCGTTAGACTTTCTCCAGTCGTCTATACATGGCTTCTCCTTTGAGGAATAAAGGGCAAGAGGGAGGGATCCCTGGAAGTGGGTAGGATGGTTGCCTCCTTCCATGCATTTGTTTCCATTGTGATGACCCATTCAGGCTTGAACAAGGACAAGATAGGAAAGGCCTCCATGTTCCTTCAAGAGTTCATAGTAAATGTTGCCATGGTTGATATGAGAGCCACACATGAAGTGCCTTCCGATTATGGTGTGGTTGTTGAGAAGGACCAGAATTCCTCTGTCATGGAAGGCTCAACCTCCAAGGTGCCAAGGTTGAATGATGGAAGCAAAGGAGCACCAAGTTCCCAGGAACCTAATAAGTCCAAGAAAAGGAAGGGGTATCAAATGCAACGTTATCAGATGGAACCACTCAACAGAGCAAGACCAAGAAAGCCTCCTCCCCATCTTGGTTCAAGCAGAACTACATGTCCCTTCCTAATTTGGTTGGATGTATGGAAAGGCATGGGCCTCTCACAAACTGGTATGATGGAAAGTGCGAGTACAGCATTCAAAAGGTTAGGGTACATCTGAAAAGAGGAATTCCACCTTATCCAACATTCTTTCAGAAACTGACCAAACGCTGTTACAAAGTTAGGATGATGGACTACATGGAGGCAAAGTACATGCCTTCATCCTGTCCCAGTAATGCTGAGGTGTGTGATGCAGAAGATCTTGTCTTAAACCAGCTTGAGGCCTTGACTCTGGAAAATGATTCTTTGGATGTTGAGGACTTGGATGATGCAAGAGTCGCCATGCCTGAACAGGAGTACTGTGATCAGGAGGATGAGATGATGTCCAAAGCCCGAACTGTTTTCATCTACAAGAACACTTCTCAATTTGAAGATGTAATGTCATCCCACAGTCTATTTTCTGGCATCCTTATTGATAATGGCAGTGGGGGTCTGGACTTGTATTGTGTGGTTCGCAGCTTCAAGAAGAATACATTTGGTTGGTCAAAGGTAACTTTCGATGACTCCAATGGCATTCTTTTACTGGGATTGTGGTATGCTCAATTTCATTTGGGGACATCATGGTTGAAGGTTGCCCAAATAGTCCCCAGGAAGTTAAGGCCAAGGCAAAGATGGCTGTTGTTGGAATTCCACTCTGGTACATATTTGGGAAGGGGCATGAACATGCCAACAAATTTTGCATCCTTACAAACTGGTGGAAGCAAGGGACAAGGATGGTAGATACATCTGCCTGGTCTTGCCTTGTTGCTATGAAGAAGTCCGAAAAGTGCTTTGGCGCCAGATATTGAAATCATGGGTTCACAAGTACATGATGCGACTCTCGTGATTTGGAGGAGGAAACTTTGATGGATACTGAGACTCATGTTCCCACTGGATGGTGTTTCAAATGCTATCATTTGATTGATGGATCCATTCATTGGAAAGGTACCTGCCTCGATCTTTTGCAGCAGGCCAGAAGATTGAACTTGAGGGACACATGGCTGCCCCGCTTCTTCCACCCTCCAGCCTTGACTTATTTATTTGGCTTCTTTATCACTATAGCATCGGTTGGTTACACCATGCAGCTCTCTGATAGATATTCTTATAGTCTTGGAAGTCTCTTCCTGTTATACTCAATGGGTGTGTTGACTGCATGTGGATCCATAGTTTGGACAACGATGGATCCATTGATGGATGGATGCATGTGGATGGATGCGTTTGTGCCATGCATGTGTCCCTCGATCCAATTTTAAGCCAGCAAAATCGATAAATCAATTTGATTGGATCATTCGAAGAAAGGTCCTGGGATTGAATCAAGACAGCAGATCTGACAGTTGATGAGGAAGGATGGATGGATCTTTCGAGTGCTTTCAAGTCAAAAATCGAAAGATGTCAAGGAGCAGCCCTGCAGCCCTGATCGAACGAAGAAGGAAACATCAGTCTAGATGCAGCAATGATCAAACATGACAGAGTGCAGTGAGATCCATCAGTGCATTATATGGGGATGTTCTTTCAAGGTCCCCTCACAATCCAGTGGCTTCCGCATTATTTCATCTGTTGATCCAAAAATCTGCTTTTTTCTTGACAGCATGGCTACCCAGAATTCCGTTGGCACAGAACACTTCCAACCCCCAGAGGTGGAAGGGATCCAAGAAAGAAACTATAATAACAACCCACACTTCCAAGTGGATATTTGGGATATTCGATTGCAGACTATGGGGGTTCATATGCGACCGAAAAAATGGACTCCATTCGACAAACTCATGGCACCCCAATATTTTGCTGCGGACTACCTCCTATGATGAGGATACCATTGCCATGTTTGAGCCAAGAGCCTCAAATGATTGGAGTTTCAATTTTTCAGAGCACTTCTCCCTACGTCAACAGATGCAGGCAGTAACAATTGAACAGATTCGATTTCCCTATGAAAGAATGGAGAATCGATGCAACCAGGATCCAGATACCAAGTACCATGTTGCCAAATGGAATACAATTCTAACATATTGGGGAGAGTCAGCCATTTTTCATGGTGCGCATTGGGCGCTCCACAAGGATTTACCCAAAGGAGAATCAGTCCGGCTATCTTTGGATTTGGCCAAGAAAACCTTCAAGAAACATGGGGATTTGAAATACCATGTTGAGCATGTCATGTTGCCTAAATTCTTGGAATCCAGGATGCCAACTGATTTGTTTGAAAATGTAGAGGCTGAACGACTATCAAGGGTTAAGGAACTTGAGCTGAAAAGAAAGGCCACCAACGAAAAAGCTAGGGCACGAAAGCAAAGGAACAAGCTCAAGAAAAATCCTACTGCTCAATCCCAAAGCCAATCTGGAGGCAACAATAAATCCCCTGTTTTGAAGTTACCTGGCACCACGCTGAACACGAGAGGATCCTCACCCGAACAGGAGGTAATCATGAAGACAAAAGGATCCTCCCAGAAGAAATCACAGCCTGCTCAAGAGGCAATCATGAACACAACACGGCAATCCTCCATGAAGAAATCCCAGCCTGCTCAAATTGAAATGTTGCAGGAGGAATCAGATGATGAGTCAGATGGCGATTGGTCAAAATCTGAGGGGGGTGATGATTCCCTTAGTAAATCTGATGATGAGATCCTTCAATCTGATGAAGAGGTTGAACTGAATGATGATGTCCTCTATGATGGTGGACCATTGGAAGTGGATGAATCGAACAATATGGAGCAGTCCAATGATGAGGATGATCCTGTTGTGGTGAAGTCAATTGGGTTTGGAGAATTGGTTCATTTTGTGAATGATCTATGCATTAATTATCACATGGTACCAATTTCAATGTCGAAGGCAAACAAAGCTTCAGTGAAAACTGCCATGGTTGCTTGGGGCTGGCATGAGCATGAAAGAGATGGAGAGGGTTGGAAGGACTATGTTAAGAACTATCAGACCTGGGTCCCAGCGATTCATAAGAATCTGTTTGAGAATTACCTATCAAGCTTTGTGGAACTCCTTACAGCCACAAATGTGAAAGGAGATTCCAAAATCTATGGAACCAACAAAGCCTTTCCTCGAGCCAATCTGAATGAATTAATCCAGGACTACCTTGAAGACGAAATGCAGGCAGGCAGGGTTGATTCGGCCCAGTGGAGAGCTATCCTTGAATTTATTCAAGGGGAGGAAGCATGCTGCTTAGTGGAGGTAGAGTAGACCAGAAAAAACAGAGGAGGGAACCTATACGAGGCAGATGCACAGGAAATGAACAAACAGGACCAAAAAAGAATTAAACAACAATAAACCAAATTTATTTAGAAAGTGGCTTCTTCTGGATCTTGGGATGAAGTGGCTTTGTTTCAATATCAGAATGATCTTGCTCCCTATCATTCCGACCAGCGATGGCAGTCTTATAGTACTGCGCCACACAGATTACATCAATGCCATTGGGATCCACCCGAGAGGACATGCCATGTGGTATTCTTGGATTAAAAATGAGCACATCCCCATTCCTCAAACCTATAGCTTTCCCAAGGGTGGGGAAGCAGAAGTACACCAGGATGGGGGAGTCCCTATCCAACTTCCCAGGGGCGACAATGGAGATGACAGAAACATTGAAGTCATCATCTTCATGCATGCTGACATAGCAGTTCTTGGCGACTGCAACAGAGGGGAAATACGAAGCAACTTCACAGTCCTCAGTAAGCTGCAAATCCTTCGTCCCAAGGAGCTCATGGAGAAGTCTGATTCCATGGATGGTTTTGGTGTCTAAATAGCTCTCAGATATTTTCTTCACCTTCTGAAGGTGGTGCTTGATGGCGGCAGTGTTTTTGGCTTCTATGCCAGCAGGAAGAAACCTTCTGGAATATCCTTTGTCACCTTGGGGGACTAAAATCCCACCAGTGAAATATCGTTGACTGCCCTGACCCTCCTCAAACACCATCCTTCTTTGGATTTTCTTTTCCAAATAGGTTTGGAAAGATGGGGGCTCAAATCAAGGGCCTGGCCATATCACGTGCTGTTATGCCAAGGTCATTCTTTCCCCCCCCCCACAAATCACAGACAAACCTCCTATCTACCAATATGACATCATCGTTCTGCCCTCCCACAATGCTATCAAAGATTTCGAAATCATCAATTACAGATAAAACCTGATGGGAAGACTTGGGCAGGTTGAGTGGTATGGTTCCAGACTGCCCTCCATTCACATTGGTTCGTGGCACCCGAGCCTTCTTCTTGTCCTCAGCACCCCTTCTTGGTTGGGGAATGGCCACACTGAGGCTCCTCAAGCCCTTGTCACTTGCATCTACAATGGTAGGCAATGCATTAATTTTACGTTGCTTGGTTGCACATCTTCCCCAGTAGCGTCTGGATTTTTGGGATGGGATGGTTTGGGAGGTGTCTGCACTTTCGTCCACCTGAGCTTGGATCCTTCTCTTGACAATTTGAGAGCTAATGGCAGAGCCCGCTGACTTGCTGGTGGACTTGTAGGGTACCATGCACCTTCCACCAAAATCATTCAAAGGAGGTACCTTCAGTTTCATGGTACCTTGAAAATTGAGCTAGTACTGGTATAATGAGGCCAGCCATGCAGTGGTAGCGGATAAAGCATGAGTGGACTCTTTGTGGATTTGCCTCTCTACCGCTAATTTCATAGGGCAGTTGGCACCATCCACAGTCGTCAAGCTTTCACCCGCGATACTGGCCATCTCAATCCACCGCCACAATAAGCAATTCCCAGCCAATGCAATTCCCAATGAAATTCCCAATGCGCTCGGATCGATCTCAATTCGAGATCTGGATCCTCCTTTTTGGTTGAATCAATTCTACAAGGGAAGAATTGTGAGCAGGGATCACGAAGCTCTGTATGCGTGCATTGGCTTGCTTAGTATTTTAAAATGGCCATGACATATATACTGTATGCAATGTACTATAGTAGGGGGTCGCAATCATGCATGGCAGACAATTTTAAAATTCGAAAATAGAGATCCTCCATGCTTGCATGCATGCATCCATGGCGATTAAAATAGCATCCTCTGCATGAGTGGATCGTCATCGAGTCCAGTCACCCACGATAACTTTTAGGAGCGAGAGCTCTGGATCCCGTCAGAGATAGCTCCAACAGCTATGCTGGCCTACAGCTCCAGCACCCACAGCTGGCTTATCTCCAGCCAAAGCAGCAAGAAAGGATCGTCCTTTCTACCATAGTTAGAAAATAGTACGAAAGATTGAGACCGATCCTGATTAGCTTGTAGCCCCTTTGATACCGCAGCAGTTGATACCTATCCTGTTGAGGCCGGCAGAAGCAGTAGGAGGTAGCAGATAGTACTGTTCCCAGACTGCCACTGCACGATTGAAATAACGAAGGCCCCCAGCTCCTGAGGAGAGCTGGCCCAAAGGGCCCAGCAGAGAGCTCTGCTGCCCTCCTGTCTGACTGACAGGACAAGTCCTTGGTTTGGTGCCTACTGGAGGTGTGGAACACTCCTGAGGCACGACAAGGCTCCCTGAACTGCCTGACTACCGCTGTCCCTGAGGAAGGGTTTCAGCGAGATCCAGTCCACTACTGGAGTATTGGAACTGAACCTTCTAGAAACTTATTGGATTAACAGACCGCATAGATTCAGGCAGCTTTAAGGGAAGGAGAGTCTCCAGGCTGACAAGGAGCTCTCTGAATTACAACAATCAGTGCTACAGCTACAGTTGAATTCATTGAATTTCATTGGCATTTTTGAGGTGGTTTCAAGGCTCTTTTTGAAGTCCTAAGTCAACAACCATTCTGGTCAATTCTGATACTTCCAACCTTCACCACAGGACAGGACCTTCAGCTTGACCATCACCAATCTACAACTCCAACAGACATCCCATTGTCATTGCTCAAGGACCTACATTCCCAAGCTCATTGACACGACGCCATTGCCGATAGCGAGTTCCACACCGTACGGTACCTTGCTTGTTGTAGCACGAAAAGCAGCCAGCCAATTCACTCGAAAGAAGAAGTCACTTGCCTTCGATCGAGAGCCATCGGAGTCTCCACGAGACTTATTCGAGCACCTTTTGGCACTGAGCACATATCTTTTACGGTGGAAGACAACAACTGTTTATAACGGCGACCCGGCTTATCTCTTGATTCGGGCTTATCGCTTTCAGCTTCCACATGATTACGTGATTTATTGCGTCTGTACAGGCCTATTCTTCATATCGCCCGTGCAGTTTTTGTGTCACGAGTTTCTCCGCGAACTAAGGAACGTCTTCGGAATCGGCTGCTCAGCCAATCAACACGCCCGTGCAGTATCTTTCAATTTACGCGGAACGTTGATTTGTTCCTGGACGATCTTTTCGAAAAAGTCGCTCAGCCAATCAAAACGTCCGTGCAGGATTCGAGAGTTCCGTGAAAGTTTGGTACTTATCACGACGTGCACTGAGTCAGTTTGTGAGTTCCTTTTCGATCCTGGATCTCCGAAGACTTATACGTTCGAGGTTCCCCGATCCGAAAGCAGGCTCAGCCTACGTAAGCTCGCTGCGCTCACATTTTAAAGGTTTTACGTGGTCGAGTCATTGAAAATCGTGAAAATCGCGATTTTCCTTCAGTACGGAGCAACAAACATTCCGAAGACCCAACTCGGCGAGTCACGAGACAACGAAACGACTGTTTCGAGAGAGTATCGATAGCACCACTGGATCCGCCATCCTTGTTTAGTCAGTGGTATCTCACCTTCAGTACTGGCACTTGTGCGGGGAGATTCATTGGCCAAAGTTGCCTGGCTCCTCAGTGGCAAAATACCCACAAACCAAGCCAGTTCCCAGCACCAGAGCAACACAGGAAGCAGGTTCCAAAGCGCTCTACACTGGCTACCTTATTCAACTACACTAGATTGAATTTCCAGGCCCATAGCAAGGTTCAGGAGGTCATCTTTGTGGTTTCCAGATTACAGTTGAGTCAAGGCTTATTGCCCTGCTACAAGAGCCCAATTTCACTGTTTCCCAGGTACAGGCTACACCTCTTCCTGTGGCAAAAGAGCGCAACCATGTTCATCTACATACCCACAGTGACTCTCCACCATCACGGAAGGCCTCGAAGGCTAGAGAACAAAGGAAACAGGCTAGCCCAAGAACAAACTAGCCACACTTCCCCTACAACCCGGGAGGATACGTTCAGGCCATCATGAAGAGTCTGGATGAGCAGCACCCCTCTATCCAAGCCCTTGGCACTACCCTTGATAGTCTCATTGAAGAGCGACAGTGGTGCATTCATCAGCTGCTTGACAAGTCCCTTAGTCGAAACCTCGAGAAGATCAATGGAAAAGCAGCTGCCCTCAAGCAGAAAGCAGCCGCCTCCAGGACTAGGAGACACAACCGGTACCACGCATCTCCTCAAGCACGATTGTGGGAGTTGCCTGGCACTAGTGTCAAGCTCACGCAGCGGCGACTGGCAGAGGCCCTCTTTGCTTCCAACAACAACAGCAATGTAGCCACAGTTCCACTGACTGGGCATCCAACTCCAAGTCAGACTGTGGGGAGTTGCACGTCATTCTGCCCTTCGGTCGGTGCCACAGCAACAACCACCAGCATTCCAGCCAGCTTGTGGGAGTCGCCAGCCACTTTCACTTTGCAAGTTTA